TTCTTGCTTCTTTTATCCCAATCACCCAAGTTCTCAATTATAGGTTAATTGTGGGTTTGGTAGGGAAGATTTATTTAGTGTTCTAAGTTATCTATGCTAAATATATATGTAGAGTTCTAGATGTAATATTTGATTCTCGGGTTCTGCATCATCTTCTCTATGTTCTTGCGCATATCTTCATGTATCTTCTTCACCAAATTTGCCTTTTTCCTTCCATTTAAACTAGTTCTTTCATTACATGCCGAGAGACCATCACAGGATGTCCCTTGTGCCACAGGCACGGGCAAGGAAAAATTTCCCTCGGGCATGTAGCAGTGAGGGGTAAAATGGTAATTTGGACAATTTTAAATTAAATTTAAATATAATTGGAAATTTGATTTAAAAAATCGGATTAAAAAATTAAGGGGCAAATTGAGAAAATTAAAATGAGAAATAAAAAAGAAAATAGGAAATTTGGATATTAAAAGGCAAATTAATAAGGAACATTTGCAAATGGAAATGAGAAATTAAACTTAAAACTAAAGTGAAATATTAAATTTAAAGGATAAATAAATAATAAACTTAGGGCAAGGGAGAATTAAATAATTTTAGTAAAATTTAGGAATAAAACCCATAATTATAATATAAACTATAAACAAATCTAAAATCTAAAATAAAAAATAATCAAAATAAGTTAATAAATTAATAAATTCAAAAAGAAATTAATCTTTAAACTAATTAAAGATCAAAAACTTAATCAACACAAAGTCTAGTTAAATTCAGTTGACCTGATTTCTATGAAGGGGTGTTTGATATTGATAATGGTTCGGTATTGTTTTTTTTTTTGGGAACCACTGAACTATGGGTATTGGTTATTTTGGTTCCATGATTGGAATTGTGGTTTAGTTTTCCTTGAGAGATCTGAACTAATTGGTATTCATGCTCTAGGGCCCATGGACATAGATCATGGCGACCAAAGTAAAACTGTGGGATGGTGACTAGAGAGGAAGTTTTATTGCTTAATTTTACGGGTAATATGTTGTTATTGTACTATTAATCTATTGCGCACTCATTCATAGCTAGTCGGTGTCCCGTTTGCACTCTTTGAAAATAGGTATAAGAGGTTGTGTGCATAGGTTTGTGATAAATGAAACCTAAATTAAGATTAATAAACTAATATTAAAACTGTGTCAGAAGAAGAGTCAAAATCAGGTTTTTTTTTTATGTGTATATTATATAAACCCATTGAATACAATATTAAGCGTCAGATGACGACTGATTGGAATAGTGATGTTGAATGGATGTATGGTACGTAATTAAGAAAATTATTTATTGCATTTGAAACATCAATGCTTTTTTAAAAATTATATTAATATTTTTAAGCGTATTTATATGACTCAATCACTGTTTATCTTACTGAGTATTTTAGAACTCACTGCAAATCCATTTCCCCCCAACTTTTGAGCAGGAGGATCTCTCTGAAGAACCGAGTCTAAATTCCATATAGGAAGGATAAAAAATAGGGAGCATATTATGTTTATTTTTGGAAAAAGCTTTTGGAGGCTAGTATTATAAGAAAATAAGCTATTCATAATCTTTGTATATAAATTTAATAGCTTTATATGCCTCAAGATACAGTATTTTGTATATGTATGGGATGTGACATTCTAGTATAATATAATTGTATTACTTTTATATGCTCTTTTGGATGTTGGTGCCCTATTTGGCATCAAGACATCACATTATGTATTAAAATCTTATTTTTTAGTTTGTTTAAGCTAAATCTAAAAAATATATTTCTAAGAAAATTTTGACACATAAAATTAGGTTGTCCACCAGTTAAATAGTTTGGATCAATAGGGTTTGATGCATAATATTAATGAGTGTAGACTTAAGTTTGTTTTCATGAACAAGAAATTTATGTGATTTTAGTTGATAATTTGTCGTAATTGAAGTATTTTCAATTGTGTTGGAACTACTAGTGAAGTAAGTTCGTTCTTTTTCTTAGTAACATATTTCTTAGTTTTGAAGAACATATATGTGTGTGCGTGTATATATATATATATATATATATATATATATTTATTTATTTATTTATGCATACATGTTATTTATGAATTTCAAATTTTTATTATTGCAGAATATATATTTGATGTCAAAAGGTTGTCATATTTAAATTTTGTATGCTTTATTAAGTTATGCTTTAATAAATAAAATTATTATTTTATCTACTTTCTATAATTTAATTGTTTTGGGAATTTGACTTAATATTATCTTACGAATTCTTATGTTTTTCATAAATTTGAGAACTACATATGTTTTTATGTACCGCTGAAACAAGTGTAGACAAATTTCAATTTATTTTGAAATAAGTGAAAAAAAATCTAGTTTGTGATCATAACAAATTCCAGTTTCTTGATAATAAAATTTATGATCCTACCATAGGAGTTAAGCGTTGTACATTATGATCTTATTAATGGAGTTAAATATTGGTTAATAATTCATTATCCTATCAATTGTGAATTAAACTTGAGCATAGTGACCCTGTTAATAGGAGGTTAAATAGTGAGTATATTGATCCTATCAATGAGTGTCACAAACTGCCCAAGTTTACATGTTAATATGATGGAAACTAGTTTGACACTATGCCACCAGTGACAATGTATGTATGTTATTTGTGATTTTTTACGTGTGATATTAATTTATATTGAATACAAATTTTTTTTTTATGTTAGATATGTTTATAGCTAAATTTTGAATATACAAATATAAATATTTTGGATTATAATTTCAAAAAGATTTCATAAGAAAATGTGAATTAAAAATAATGAGGATTTATTTTGAATATTTGTATTTATAAAAGTAAATGTATTATTTTTGTTTATGTTGCAACAATCAATAACAAGCTTTTCTAATGTTGTTCTTCTACTATATTCCAATATTTTCTTTATAAAAAAAATCATAAATCGACACTAAATTTCCTCTTACTTGTAAACCCAAAACACAAATTCAAAAGGGTATAATCACTCCTAACTTGATGCCCTAATCTTCTTTCTTTTTCTCAACGTCACATTTTTCTTGTTTTTGAAGTTTTCTCTCATTTTCTCCATTAGTTTTCGCTTGAAAACCCTAATTTTTTAAATGTCTTTTTTCTGAATTTTTGGTTGCGCATTCATTTCCTCTTCTTTATGGCTTTGAGTGGAATCGAGACTTTAAAAGCTCTTATTCTCTTCTCTTCTTAAACACATAACTCAACTGTATCTTTGCTTTATTTGTTCCTTCTTGTTATGTTTCCATCATCTCCCTCAAACGGTATAAAAAAAAAGTCTTAAGATCTGATCAACGACAAGTAAGACACTTCTAAGCTCCATGAAAAGCTATAATTCTCTTCATTTTCTAAGAGTGAAATTGAGTTTAGGTGGGTTTATTTTTATATAGACAAATAGTTAAGTATAAGGAGTATGTGGAGGAGAATCTCTTTTATGGGAGAGTGAAATAGGAACAAAAGAGAGAGAATTAGTATTGAGGGAGAATGAGGATGAGACAGAGGATAGAAGGCTGATGAATAGGTTTATTCTTTTGTTGTCCAAACAACCATTAAGGTTTTTATGCCTTTTTTATTAAAAACTTTAATGACGCTAGCTATTTGAAATAATTTTAAATATTTAGGGGCTAATTTGTAATAAAAAATATTTAAGAATAAAGTGTAAAATTAGATATAATTTAAGGAGTAAATTGGATAGTGTCATTATAATATAATATAATATAAATATATTTATAAAAAAGTACTATATTATATATGACATACAACTAATATATTATATAAAAATTTAGTTAATACAATAAGTAACTATTAATATAATATATAATAATTTTAAATTATATATAATATTAAAAACTAAAAAATTGTTCAATTTTTTGGTCATTTTGGAACCAACTGAAAATCCGATAAATAATCAATTAATGAATAAGTTCATACACATTTTCAATACTGTATGGTTACAAAACACAATAATTTAAAAAGTTAAAAATGCACCTCTTTGATTTTCTTTTTGATGTATGGTTGTTGGGCACATAGAACAACACATGAAAAAATATATTTTCTTTTTATTTTAATAAATTTTCTTCTAAAGATTCATAATTAGTTAATATTTTTACGAATTTATAGAATGGAAGAGAAAATAATTCATAATATGAGAGCTTGTATCTTTCATTATTCTTCTCGTTGGCCATTAATATAGATGCCGGCCCATAAAGCCATTTTCTTGATTGTTGCTAAGATATCTTCTTCAATTCTCATTAAATGTTTTTCCGGAATATTAAATTTTGTTATATATTAAAATCAATTTGAAGTTGAAAAGAAGAAGGTTGGAGATTTTGGAATTGGGAATTTAGATAGAATCGAAGAGACAGACGTTCAAATTGAGCAAAATTTAATTTCAAAGCTAACGGGAACACCGTGTAATTGTCCTGTGGCTTCTTTCAAAACTTGAATTTCGGATGCTGCCGCAGTAGTTAGCTTCTTCTTATACAAAGTTTCAGCAATCTTGTAATCTAGGGTTTTGAAGTTTCCCTTCCAACTATTCCACATGGCTTTCTGGGGTAAGTGATTACTCTCTCCCCTTAGTTTCTGCTCTGTTTTCTCATGGCCTTCGGGGGTAAGATGCTACTCATCTTCCAGCTTAACTCCTATATACGCATAGTTTCAAATGGATTATTTTGCAGGAGTCGAAGTGAAACCAGGCAGACCTTTCACTCATGCCGCTAGTGGTGCGAGAGGAAGGCTTCACATTTCTCAGGTAAGAGACCTTTCTTACTTTGTTGTTTTTTTTAACCTTGGATTTTTGTGCTTTGTCCTGATTCTTTGTTTTGTTGTTTGTTTTTTTTTCCCTGTTCAATTTGTATGCGATTTAGTTTGTGTTTTGGAGTAGAAACTCAAGAGAGTTTTATGTTTCCTCGACTCTGCTTTTGCTGCATCCCACTACCGGATGCATGTATTCCGTATTGAACTGTACTTTTCACTCTATACGTGCCTTCAAGTTCGAGCCACTTTTGATTGATGGTTTCAATTCTGGTTCGCCCAGGCTACTCTAGGGGTTGGCACGCCAACAAACAAAAGTCTGCTACAATGTAATGTAGGAACTAAGAGTCCTGTACTCTTATGCTCATTGTTTCCTAACAAGTTCGAGTCCTGCCAATTGAATTTGGAATTTGATGAGGTGGATGAAGTTGTGTTCTCAGTGATTGGACCTCGCAGTGTTCACATAACTGGCTATTATCTTGGCAGTGCTGGGCGTTCTAATTTATTAAAGGACGATGACTCGTATCCTTTTCTTCTTCTTCAGATGTAGTTTTTTTATGTAGTCGTAGTCTTCATTTGCATCATGGTCTGGCACTATTAGTTCTATGTGATTTATCGAGTTTTTCTCGAGCCTTTTGCTCTCAAAGAAAAGCTCGGAAAATGAAAGCAATAAAGACATTATTAAATCAGAATAAGTAACTACATGAAGACATGGAAGAATGTATACTGTATTGAGGTTTTTGAGATGAGAAAGCCATCTTTGGCCACAAAGGTCAAATGAAATTAGAAATTCAATATTTTCTTTTCTATGGAATTTGTTGCAGTGATATCCGATATTATCATGAAAAATTAATTGCATTTTCTTTTGGTGAAATTTTTATGGGTTTGATTTTGTTTTCCCTCATCATGTTGGCAAGAGAATCATATGGAGAAGACATTGATAATACAGAGTCAGAAGCATTTGACAATAACGATGATGAGTATGAGTATGATAGTTTTATTGATGATGATGATGATCCGGAGATCTTCCCAGATTCTCCAGTTTCTGAGGGTGAAAGTATGTATAACACTGTTGTCTGTTAGATGTGGGTGCATGTGTATATTCTATTATGGTTCTTTTCATGCTCTTTGCAGTTGCATCTCCCTGTTTGACGGCCTTTCATCTTTTCACCTGATGAAAATTTTGCATGAACCCAAATCAAGTTGCATTTTCATTAGTAGCTCAAGCACTATTTTCGGTAAAGTTTTACCATTCAGTTTTCTTGGTTTTGATTCCAGTAGTTAAAGATACAGTTGGCAAAAGGAAATCTAGAAATAAGAAGAGACTTAGAAGACTTGTGAAGAAGCACAAATCTGATGATCAATTTTTTTCTGGGAGTGATACCGATATGGCATTATGGGACGGTGAAAATGAAGAAAACCTACCATGTTCTTCAACCCGCAAGGACACATGCCTAGCAATTGGGGTGAGCTTTGGGATGGAAATGACTGACATAGAAGCAAATGGTGGGACTGGCATTGGCAAGAATACATTAGGAGAAAAGGTTAATGCTGCTTCAGCAATTGAGTCTGTAAGGTGAGAGAACTTTGGTTCTGTTGGGCTGAAATTCGTAAGTTGTTTTTTTTTTCTCTCTCCTAAAGCAGAAAGAGTACAGTTGTTCTTTTTCCTTCCTCCTATTGGCTCTTATATTGGAGGATTTACTGGATTTGACATTTCTAATTTCTTTTACTGTGTGGATACTACTGCAGGGATGCTAGCATCCAGCCTTCTGCTAAGATGAGCTCTGAAAATGATGCAACACCGAGGAAGAAAAAGAAAGTGCAGGCAAAGGAGGCAAAATGTTTGGACATTGCACATACTCACCATGATGTTCTTAAGCATGATGATGAACTGCAAGAGGAGGAAAAGTCTAAAGAAGCATGTCTGGAAAGGAATGTGACAAATGAAGGCTGTGAAAATGGAAAAATAATGAAGAAGAAAAAGAAAGAAACAAAGGGTGAAATTGCTTTTGATATTAGTGGTGTGAGCCATGGCAATGATATGCAGCTTGAGGCAGAGCATGAGGTCTTGCAAGATTTTGAGAAATCTGGAAATAGGTGTGATGAAATGATTGTAGAAAATGGAGGCTGTGAAAATGGAATAATGATGAAGATGAAACATACAAGACAAGTAAAGGACGAAAAGGCTTCTGAAATTAATGGCGGGAATTGTGGCGATGATATTTTACTTGAGGAAGAGGATGGTAGTTTGGTCCAGGACCTAACAGAGAGACATGAACTAGTTAAGAACCAAGCTGCTGATGAGTATGTTACTATGGAGTTTCAGCTTTTGGTTTCAATTTCTATGCATTCTCATAGTTTTATTTTCATGTTTATTAGATCCAGTTGTTTTCTTGGCAATAAAACATCATGTCTATTTCAATCCATTGGAATTGGTGTAATCTTCAGGGAAACAAAAGGCAATTCTGGGCTAGGCAATGAGGATGGTGACAAGTTGAAAAAGAAAAGGAAGCAAAGAGGAGAGGAGAAAATTCTTGAAGATGATAGTTGTAAGAAGGACAAAATTCGGCAATATTGTGTGAAGTCTGGTAGTGTGACCCGAGATTTGCCTATGAGAAATGAACAAAATCAGAAACAAGCAGTTGATAGGTAAGTTTCTCACGTTCGTTTGAGATTTATATCACTTCGATGTATGTTCGAACTGAAAAAAAATGAGGTTAATTCACCTAAACCAAGCTAACCTGCTTCAGACCCTCCCAATTGAGGATGCTATTTTTTCTTTAATGGATCTGGCAGCTTTCCTGTAATTTCTGAAAGAAGTCATAGCTTAGAGAAAAATGGTTAGACAACCAGATCACAAATTTAATGTATAAGGGATTACCATTTCTTTATAAATGGGATTATGTAATAAAAAAGGGTTATGCAATCAAAAGAAAAGGATTATACAATCAGGCTAGAACTTTATCAAGGGAAATAAGAAATTACTTTATGAATATGATTACAGTTGTACTTATAAAGAAATCCTTATCTCCCTTGATTCTAAGGGTTCTACACTCAAGAGCCTTTCTTGTTTTAGCTATAGATTTTCATAAATGAGGAAGATGAGAGTGAAAATGAGTTCATTGTCCCTGTTATAATTGTTCCCAAGTTTGCATTTAAGTTTGTTAATAAATTTGGCAGGAGCTTTGATAATTATGTTGATCAGTTTGTTGATGAATCCCATCCTGATGAGCGGAAAAAGAAGAGGAAAAATAAGCAAGGAAAAACTGAACATGTTAAAGATGCCATAAATGCGGAGAACCCTATTTTGCCAATGGTGGAAAAGAACAATTCTGTTGTGGATGCTGAAAACAGGAGGGCTGATGACAAGCCATGTCAATTCAGTATATTGCCAAATGGGTTAATCACTGAAGAGCTAGAAACTGGGAAAGAAGATGGCAAAGTGGCTGGTCCAGGGAAAACTGTGAGTTGGTTTGCATGTATCCTTAGATAAAATTTTCTACTGATTGATGAGATCATAAGAACATTCTTTGTCGTTCGTACTCTTTGGTTAGATGTTTATGCAGGTAAACATGCATGGGCAGGCAAAGCGGACGTCACAAATTTTTAGCATGTTCACTAGAATGGATCTTTAGGTCAAGTAAATTGGATAGTTATGCATCAAAATATACCAAATTAGATCTAGGTTTATGGGAGCATAACTCGAATGCATAGGCCAAATACCCTCTTGTTGGGATCTTTAATTTCCTTGCTTGTCCTTCAAAAACTTTCTCCAGAGCCTTTGATGCGGAATCCGATGATCAAAGATTACATGCAGAGTCTCGCATATATATAGTTAGCATAGATAATTAAGAACCCTAAGCAAATCATCTCTACCAAACTCACAACTAATTTGTAATTGAGAATTTGGGTAATTAGGATGAAAGAAGTTAGAATGAATAAATGCCACAAGATAACTTGATAAGTTAATTCAATTCTTGATGCAACAAGAAGAATAAAAATTCTCACTTGTCAAAGTTCTTCTAAAGGCAATAAAATTCATTCAATAATCGAAGTGTGTCATATTACATTGAAAAGAAGATATATATGGGCTAAAACACTTAGATTCTATCAAAAGATTATAATTAGATGACCTAGAAAAACATGAATTTAAATAATCTAAATAAACATAATATTAAATGATTTAGGGTAACATAGTATTTAATGACCTAGAGGAATATGGTATTAAATAACCTGGGGAAATATAGTATTAAATAAGATAGGGAAACATGGTATTTAATGACTTAGTAACATGGTATTAAATAACGTAGGGGAAGATAGTATTAATTGACTTAGAAAAACATAGTATTAAATGATGTAGGAAAACATAATATTAAATAACCCAGAGAAACATAGTATCAAATGACATAGAGAAATATGAACATAATTTAATTATATAGAAAATGACTAAAATGATTATAGACATTCATTCTAAATTTTGCCCACACACTTGGACGAAATTAATGATTTTGTTTGACTTATTTGATTTTTCAAATAGTTCACATGTGCTAAGTTCTTGTTGTATCTATTTTTGTACAAAGTTTTGAAATGTATGTTTTAACTTCTTGACTTGAAATCTTGTGATTGGACCAGCTAACATTGTAATATTTTCCTCATGCTTCTCTTTAATACATTTTGAACTCATATCCGCATCATTCCCTCATCATTCAAAAGGATTTGTCATCGAATCTGTATTTATATCTAACGGAAAAAGGTCAGAAATGTTAAAAGTAGCGGACTCAGAATACTCATAAGGGAGATCAATCGATAAGCTATCATTGATTTTCTCCAACACTTGAAATGATCCATCGGCTCTCGGATCCAGCTTTGACTTCATTTGTTTTGGAAACCTTTCTTTGCGCATATGTACTCAAACCCAATCTCCAGATTCAAGTACAACTTGTTTTCGTCCTTTATTAGCCATTTGAGTATAAACTTGGTTCTTTTTAATATGCTCACGTACTTTCTCATGGATAGCTTTAACTATTTCAGTACTCTTCTTACCATCTAAGATAGAAATTTAATTTAAAGGTACTGACATTAAATCCAAAACAATTAATGGATTAAAACCATACACAATTTCAAAAAGTAAAAAATTTGTAGAAGAATGAATAGTACGATTATATGCAAACTTAATGAATGGCAAACAATCTTCTCAAGTTTTCAAATTCTTACCTTTAACAACACGCATCAAAGTTTCCAAAGTTCTATTGACAACTTCAGTTTGACCATCAGTTTGTGGATGACAAGTAAAATACAAAAGTTTAGTTCCTAACTTAATCTACAAAGCTTTTCAAAAAATGACTCAAGAATTTAATATCACGATAAAAAAAATAGTTTTAGGTACACCATGTAACCTTACTACTTCTCTAAAGAACAAATCAGTAATGTTTGTTGCGTTATCGGTTTTGTGACATGCAACAAAATGTGCATTTTATTAAATCTGTCAACTATAACAAATATGCTATCTTTACCTCTTTTAGTTTTAGGCAAATCTAACACAAAATATATAGAAATATCAGCCCAAGGTTGAGTAGGAACTAGTAATGGAGTGTATAAACAATGCAGTTTGGACTTAGATTTAGCTTGTGGACATGCAATACAAGATGAACAAAGTTTCTCAACATCTCTACGCATGTTTGGCTGATAAAAATATTTAGTCAGAATGTATAAAGTTTTATACACACTAAAATGACCCATTAATCCCCCCACTATGAGACTCACGAACAAGCAGTTCACGCAATGAACATTTAGGTACACAATTATTTTTCACGAAATAAAAATCTTTCATGCCTATAAAACTTATCAAATGTAGCATGTTCACAAGCAGCATAAACATTGCAAAAATCAGAATCATTAGCATACATATCTTTGAGTTGTTCAAATCCTAACAATTTAAAACTAAATGTATAAATTAAAACGTACCTTCTAGATAATGTATTTGTCACCAGATTGTCTTTACCATGCTTGTAATCACATAGGAAAAAGTCTCAATGAACTCTATACACGTAGGTGGCATATTCACCCTGGTCCGTACATATCACGCTCTTATCTCGTTCCTGCTCCTCTTTTTTAAATTCGCTATCAGGGTGAAGGGACCATTTGGTCATGTCCCTTTTGATTACGTGATCCACGAGCTTGACCGAGGTTTGGTTGTACTGGATCTCGGGTCCTTGATTGAGTTGCCTAGCTTTTTGAGTCACAGCCCTTCTCCGCCTCTCCATGCAGCCCCAAAGAGTGGCTATCAAGCGCTCTTCGCTCAAGCCCTCAATTGGATTTCGTAAGGGCAAGCGAATCAATCTTTTTTGTAGCGGGCCCGACTCTCGTATAGCTTTTGGTATGGAATGGGCAAAAAGAATGACGGGCACCCTTTTTGGGATGTCTTTTATTCAACTTTTTTTGTTCCTTTAAATACTTGATGGACTCATGATCAGTATGAATCACAAATTCCTTTGAAAGTAGGTAATATTGCCACACTTGCGGTGCACGAACTAAAGCATATAACTCCTTGTCACAAGTAGAATAGTTCAATGGTGCCTCCATTTAACTTTTCGCTGAAGTATGTAATTGGACGTTTATCTTATATCAAAACAGTTTCAATACCTATTCCAGAATCATCACATTCAATTTCAAAATTTTTAGAAAAATAAGATAAACAAAGAACAGATGTAGAACACAATTTATCTTTCGAAGTTTTGAATGCATGCTCTTGCTCCTCTCCCCATTTGAATCCAATATCCTTTTTAACTATTGCAGTTAAAAGAGCAACAATAATTGAGAAATCTTTTACAAATCTCTTGTAAAAACTAGCCAGCTCGTGAAAACTCCTCAGATCAGACACACTCCTAGGTGTTGGCTATTTTTGTATAGGTGTCACTTTGTCACTATCAACCTCAACTCCCTTTGTATTAACAATAAACCTTCAAAACACAATTTGATCACAGCGAAAAGTACATTTCTGTAAGTTAGCATATAATTGTTCATTTCTTAAAACTTTTAGAATAGTTTTAACACGCACAAGATGATCATCCAAATACTTGTTATAAATTATAATATCATCAAAATAAACTACAACAAACTTTCTAAAAAATTCACGCAAGACATGATTCATTAATCTCATGAATTTACTAGGTGGATTAGTTAAACCAAATGGCATAATCATCCACTCATATAAACCATATTTAGTTTTGAATGTAGTTTTCTATTCATCACCTGGTTTCATGTAAATTTGGTGATATCCACTTTTCAGATCAATCTTTGTAAAAATACATTCACCATGCAAATTCATCTAACATGTCATCTAATATAGGAATAGGATGACGATACTTTACATTGATTTTATTTACTGCATGACAGTTAACACACATCCTCCATGATCCATTTTTTTTAGAAACTAGCAACACAGGAATTGCACATGGACTCATGCTAATGCAGACATAGGTTCAAAAGGCATTAAAGAGAAGTATGAAGAAGATATTACAATACCAGCTGGTTCAATCACAAGATTTCAAGCCAAGAAAGTAAAACATACATTTCAAGACTTTGTACAAAGATGCATACAATAAGAACTTAGCACATGTGAACACGTAAGGGAGTGTTGTGAGAAAATTTCTTTACTAACAATTTTTTGCAGGTTCTACATCATGTCAAATTCTGAAAGTGAGAAGTGTGAAATAACCATGAATGGCATAGCCTTTATGATAGAGGCAATGCAAAGGCAGTTTAAGAAGCATAATAGGGACATAGACAATATGAAAGGTGATATAGATAGCCTTCGAGGCCGACAAGGTGGTCATAATCAAAAGAGGCAAAATAGGGGAAGAAGAAATATGTTGAATGATGACGATATTGAAAGGGAAGTGGATAGTGAAGAGTCAACGGTACAAAGAAGACTCGAAAGAAGGGACAATAACATTAATTCTATCAAGATGAAAATTCCTTCTTTTCAAGGTAGAAATGATGCTGAAACTTATCTAGAATGGGAGCGAAAAGTTGAGTTGATATTTAAATGTCATAACTAATTCGAGGAGAAGAAGGTGAAGTTGGCAGTTGTTGAATTTACTGATTATGCTTTGGTTTGGTGAGATCAATTACTCATCTCTAAGAGAGGTAATGGAGAGGCACTCATCACCACCCTGAACTCAAATGAAAGCTATCATGAGAAAATGGTTTGTTCTATCATTGTACTATAAATAGCTCCATTAGAAATTGCAAATGCTCACTTAAGGGTCTATATCAGTTGAAGATTCTCACAAAGAAATAGAGATAGCCATGATTCGAGTAAATATCGAGGAGGATAGAGAAGCTACCATGGCACGATTTCTAAGTAGCTTGAATAAAGAAATTGCTGATATAGTTGAATTACATCACTGTGTTGAGTTGGAAGAGATGGTTAATATAGCCATGAAAGTAGAAAGACAATTGAAAAGTAAGGGGACAACAAGGTCATATGGTTCTAATAGCAATTGGAATTCAAAGTGGTCTAAGAAAGAGGAGAAGATCAAGGAGAAGAGTTTTGGTTTTAAGGAGGAGGCTAGAGATTTCAACAAAGACAAAGATAAAGGTACCCCATCGTCTATTAAAGGTACTTTTGATCTCACATCTACTGATAAACATAAAAATATTAAATGTTTGAGATGTTTGGGAGTAGGACATATTGCTTCACAATGTCCAAATAAGGTCATGATTATTAGGGACAATGGGGATATTAAGTCTGAATTTGATTCTGATTGTGATAATATGCCATCTTTAGAAGATTGTGATGATGATGTTGAGTATGCTGCCTGTGGAGAATCATTGGTTATTAGGCGAGCTCTTAATATGCAAGTTAAGGAGGAAATTTTAGAACAAAGGGAAAATCTATTCTATACAAGATGCCTTGTAAGTGGAAAAGTTTGTGTTGTGATCATTGATGGAGGGACTTGTGCAAATGTAGCTAGTACTACTTTGGTGGAGAAATTATGTTTAAAATGTGAAAAGCACCCAAGACCCTACAAGCTGCAATGGTTGAATGATTATGGAGAAGTAAAGGTGATTAAACAAGTTATAATTCCATTCTCCATTGGGAAGTATGTTGATGAAATATTATGTGATGTAATGCCCATGCAAGCTGGTCATTTGTTGTGAGGGCGACCTTGACAATTTGATAGAAGAGCCATACATGATGGATACACTAGTAAGTACTCATTTATTTTGAATGACAGAGATTTTACACTTGCGCCATTATCTCCTTTAGAAGTGTATAAGGATCAAATGAAAATGATACAAACTTCTAATAGGAATTCAAGTAGTGAGAAAAGTAAAAGAAATGAGGAAAAAGAGGCTAGAAAAGAAAAGAAAAAAAAAATAACACCCCATAGGTGAGTGATTGCCCTAGTGAGAAAAAGAAAGAGGGAAGCACATAAGAGAAAAGTATAATGAGAGAAGAAAAGAGTGAAAACAAACTAGGTTTGTATTCAAAGAAAAGAGAATTAATAAGTGCTTATGCAAGTAAGAGAGCTTTGATAGTGCTTAGGTTTAGAGAAATTTATTTCTCTAAAACTAACCTTAATCCAAA